AGTAAATATAAGTGCTTTTATTTAGGTGTTGTACTTCATTAGGGTATTTCCAGTTTCTGCTCCTCTGTACTCATTTATGTGATAGCTGCAGTTACTCAGCAGATTAAGACATAACATATGATCAGTTTATAAATTATTATTTTAAATTAGTGTATAAAGGAGTTTAATTAGCTCCACTTTGATCAACAACAACATTAAACGGCTGCTTTCACATTAATGCATCAATCATAATCCAATAATATATAATAATATAACATTCTGAAAGGGGCTGTTTTTTATTTTTACTCAAGTAATTGCAATTTTGAAGAAGGGACTTTTACTAATTGAGTTTTTTTATATTGTTGTACTTTTATTCATTTAATCCCTTTTTGTGTTGATTTCAGTGGCCCCCGTGGACAACACAGTAGCGGTAGTGTTTCTACTGCTTTATTTCATTGATTTCAAGGGGAATCCGACCGAATCTGACCCTGTGAATAACTAGAAATTGCCAGTCTTCTTGCTGATGGTCTTATTTGTTTATATAGGACATACAGAGGCATCAGTATTAAATTCCAACTGTTGCATAACCAGTTAAAAACAGCTTGTAGTTCGTTTAAGTAAAGGATCTGAATACTTCTTCCATCACTTCCAAACTCTGTCCTCACATTTCATTGAGCTGTTTACTTCTTGTCATAGACTAAAATCATTTGTGGCACATGGGCACTGACTCTATAACCCCTTCACAAGTGAAACTGGAATTAAGTTAATCAGTTGTATTCAAGTAATAAAAACATTTCATCAGCATCACGAATCATTTGCTGATTGAAATTATAACCTATATCATCCTGGGCAGCAGCATCATATTCCACATTAACTCGTAGCCACCCTTCGTCTCTGCTACCTGTCAGTAGTTATTAATAATGCAGAAGGACAAAATGTTGACTTATTCTATCTTTGCTCAGCTGTGTGTGTGTGTGTGTATGTATACACTTGGGATGTGTGTGTGTAACCATTTGGGACGTCAACACGGACCTAAAGGCAGACTGTAGATTGTGCTGTGGATCAAACTGACCACAGGGTTTTACGTGTTTGTCCTGTTATTTCCTGGAAAAGCTGTTATTATCGTTAATATTTCACTGACAGATTAAGCCGGAGACTCTCAGGGTTTAAGACATGAAGGACAGAAACTCTATATCACACAGGCTTCTCTCTAAGATCACTCATAGGAAATTACTTATTACAGAACCTAATATTATCTCAAGCCGTCGTATATAAAATTGTGAACCACAATTGTATAATTTTTCTTCATAATTAATAGTTTTACTCATTTAAACAAAAGAGAAAAGATTTTTGTCCTGCTAGGATGGTGATTCCCACTGGTTCAACATTTGGTCACCAAATACTGGACCTTCTTGGCCCCCAGATGTAATTTTGGTGCCCTTCTACACAAGACACATTAACATCTCATCAACAGATTGACATACATTTTACTGAACACATTCATGCCCCACAGAAGATGAAGCCCTTAAATTCTGGACACTGTGATCTTCTTTGTGGTTTTAACTGTCAGCTTTGTACATAAGAGCTCTCATGGAAATTTCAGAATAGTCATTCGACCCTTTGACCTCTCCTCTTGACCTCTGTCTGCTCCTTAATTATATGGGCAGAATTCAGTCACATTTGCAGAACTCGTTCATGCTTGTCAAGGGATTTCTGTCCATTACTTGAACTGTCCTCTAGTGCCGCCCTTTTGCCATGTAATCAGCTTCATACATAAGATAACTACGTGTAATGGCCATATTGCCAAATGGTCCCCAAAGGAGGAATCATATTGGTTTTTAGTGACCCTGTGGCTTTTCCTTTGCCATTACACCAAAGGAGGATATTGCTTAATGTAACAGCCTGGTAGCTACAGTTGTATGCAAAAGGTTTCGGCCCCCTTTGAAAAATAACATAATATTTTGGTGTTTTTTTAATTTATAAAACATGTAAACAGCATCTGTAGGAACAAAAAACACAATATCTTCAGCAAACATTATTGCATATTTACATATTATGTCAGAAATTATGTCAAATCATTATGGCATCATACAACTGTGTGATGAGATTACGTACATTCATGCTTCACAGAGGATGTTCCCTTTGTTTGAATTTTTGGTCAAACTAGTTTTGAGCATGTTGGAGTTGATTTAAGGTGTTTTAGCCACTAGTGCAGCGTCTCCATGGATGGCAATGTCGGCCCACCAGTCGATTGTTCTCCCACTTCAGTCCAGACTGAAATATCTCAACAGCTATCGTGGATTGCTATGAAATTCTGTACAAACACTCATGGTCCCCAGAGGATGAACTAACTGTTGGTGACTTTTCTTCTAGCTCCACCAGCAGGTCAAACATTCACTCACCACTGACTCACCGAATGTTGATATAAGCCTGCCATATTTAACGCAGCATTTTTCCTCCCCGTCCACTGTCTGCAACCTCCGAGCCAGCAACCCACACCCTGAAAATGGCAAGCTACCCTAACATGGTTGCAAACAATACCAAAGGAAACAAGCGTATAGCTGTTACCTTTTCTTTTGCATGAAATTAGCCATTTCAGGGCTTCCCTCGTGCAACTGTGTGTTCCACCAAAACAAGTTCTGCCCAGATGCTTTTTTTCATGGTCACCGTTGCTGCAGATTCACACAGCCACCCCATATAGGGGGAAATCAATGATACATTTTTACTAATTTAAGTGACCGAAGAGTTATTGACTCCAATGTTGGTGATTTTTGTATGTTTTATCAGAGGGATGGAATGCACACACTGTAGATATTTTGAGATGTAATCCCATCACTTTATCACAAATGAAACATTATAAAAAACCCATTGTACAATCAGAAACATTCATGGTGGTCAGGCTGACAACAAGACTGTTTATCTTAGTTCCTGAACAGCAATACTTTCTCCAGACAGCGAGGATTTGTTATTGATTCCTCGGGGAATTACCTTCCAATCCCGATAGAGATTGCGTGTGTGGATAAGGGCTTCTTTCACACACTGAGACAGTTCAAACCTGCAGCAATAGCCCATCGGGAGAAATGTTTGTTTGTGTGTGATAATTTGACAGAGACGTAAAGAATGACGGATGGTGACGGAGACACTGAGAAACTGAAAGAGGCAGAGGATGGTTGAGAGTGTGATGGATGGAGATACAGAGCAGGTGACAAATGATACAGTCTGAAATAGAGATTGCTCTCAGAGAATGGCATTGTTGGGTGTAAACCGCTCAATACGTCAGCGCCAGACAATGCTTAAGGCAGTGAAGCTGATTTATAACATCTGAACACTAATATGTGAACACATGCACACAGAGCTCTACCTGCTGGGTGTCAGTACATACATTCATACATATACAAATACAAGCGCTGTGTAATATGGTGACTGTTTCTATCACTGCTCATGACACTGATGTTTAAATAGAAGTGAGTCTGGCCCAGTGGTTAACATGCATACTGTATAAATCCAGGAAGTGTGTTATTATAGTTACAGTAGTTGCAGTACGTGGCTGGTTGTGTAGTTCTTTGGGACTGATTGTGATACCTTTCACATTTTGTGTCATATCACTCTTTAAATATTTGTTTCACGGTGTGATACAACATATTTGCGTTGTTGTACTTTTATGCTTTTGTGTGGTTCTCTGTTGGAACTTACAAAATAGTTCTTATTGTGTCACGGTGTCAGACTCAGACTGGAAGGTTAAAGTTAAAGTAATCACTGAGGACGATGCAGTGACCCTTCAGATGTGTTTACAGTGTTTACAGCCAATGTTCCAACAGACACATTTACAGTGTCTCTTCTCTCTCTCTCTCTCTCTCTCTCTCTCACACACACACACACACACACACACAGGCAGTCCATTTCTAAAGTTGAAAATCACCTATAAGCACTGCTGCCCTCTAGTGGCAACACCCGAGCCTAACTACAGAAAAAGTGTAGGTACTGGGGTACTCTACTTAAATATTTCCCTTTTATTCTACTTTGTTGTACATCTTACTCCATCACATCGATTTGACAGCTTTAGTTACTTTGCATATTTGGATTATCAAAACAAAAAATAAATCAACTAATAAATTATGATTTATTATTTTAGGTTAAGTGATAGTATGTAAAGTAATAATAATTACTAAACCACCTTCACCAGCTGTATCATCAGTGATAAACACATAATTATAATCCAATGATATATCCTGAAATCAGCGGATGTACTTTTACTGTTGGTACTTTAAGTATATTTTGATAATATGTTTTTATTATTTTAAATTAATTTTGAATAGAGGCTGGGGAGCATTTTTACACTGTGGTATTGGTACTTTTACTCTTCTCCCCACTGCGTAGCGGTACAATTGTACAATTCCCAAATGTCATGTTTATAAAGGACGTTGAAATAAGCACGAGCACTTGAACACACCGCGATGTCCCCCCGGCACCTCAGCTCATGGGGCAGCTTATTTTGAGCATCGACTACATCAGAGATCATATCAGTGATAGAGATCACTGGAGTTCACATTGTCTGATGAAGTGGAAAAATATCACTGTGCAGTCATGTGAATATAACCCGGTCAACTGCGTTGACGTGGCCGAGGGCATCCCACTGACATGAACAATAGCTCAGTTTCAACTGTCGTGGGAGGTCGAGCATGAATGTCAATCAAATCGCTGAGTTTATAATTACTGGATCTGCACCGCTAGCATCTATTTAACCATCTCTAATGAGGAACTGAGTCATCCCGATCAGTCTGAACTGGCCAATTACCACTAATGAGATGCAGTGTGTGACATAGATCAATGTATGGATTCACATTCCAGATATCTTTTCAGTAGGTGTCTGAATGTCCCCATGTGAAATGAGATCATTAAGTTAGTCGTAGAAACTATTATTAGGTCTGTTTTCAAAAGGCTCCAACACACAGAAGCACCACGCTGTTATGGAGATGCTGGGTGGTTTTTTTTTTCCCCGGCACGTAGAAAAGCAAATAAACTTTACTCGGTTAAATTATGTTTATTTTAAAAATATATAGAAACAGGACCACTGGTGTAAACGTACAGTAACACGGAACAGTGTGGATACTCACACTTCAATGCAACCCTGTTCACCCTCAACCCAGACTGGAAAAAAGAAACAGAAATCACACATCACAGCAGCACTTTACCCCCACACACATCACAACTGTACACACCGTATCAAACTGTGTTCAAAGGAATTTTATTAATTATGACACCCCAACACTTTCAACATAGTGTGGGTCTCAGTGGTTGTTATTTATTCAGTGAGATTAAATAATGAAATAAAATAAAAGCAGTAGCCTTTCTGTGTACAGTACTGGTACGGTAGTTGGCCAAGTGTTTGAGAAGAACACGAAAGTCAAAAATTGTAAAGTACACATCAACCTCCACAACTCAGTCAATTCTCTGCAGCATTACTTTAATTTGAAACTCAGTGTGTAGTCATTGTTTAGCAGATTACAGCTGAACTCTTTCCAGTTTTAAGAAGCTCTTGTTAAACACCTTAGATCCCCATCATCATACGAACAATGTTCGGAGCCGTTTATGTGAACTTTAGAACATTTACTAGTCAAGTTACATTTTTCTGGATAAGTAAGAAAAATGAGAATTAAACATCGGTGCTGCCAAACATCTTCAGCGAGGTCCAGTCCTGTTCTAGGACAACTGAAGAGCGGATCATAAAATGCAAATATTAACGGGTACAAGTAGAAACACAAATGTTGATATCTGACATCCGAAAGTCACTTGTGGTTGAAAAAAAACTGAAATATCAAAATAAAGTCTGGATTTATACGTCTTATTCAGACCTTGTTACAGTGACTGTATTAGTTGTGATTGCACCCTGCTGAGTGACAGGAAATCAAAAAGTAACATGTTACTGGTTTGTTCATGTGACTTTTGTTCCCACTGTGATGAGCAGTGTGAATCTAAACAAACCAATAACCCAAAGTAAGGTTATCAACTATGGTTTGGACAAAATAAAGCAAACTGTAGGCGTGAGTGCACGAGGGGAATCACCAGAATCAGGAATGAACAAAAAGGGAAAATATATACAAACTACTCCTAATATGAGTTATGAGGTTAACACAGTTTTTTCATTTTGCTGGGACGAATAATCACATTAATAGTAAAAGTGGAATTTTAACTGTTTCGCCTTGTTGGAGTTTATGACTGTTTGATTTTTAAATGATGGCACATGCTCCGACTCCACACACCTCGTTACACCGGCTGTCTATAAAACTCTGTAAAACTGAAAGCAGTTGAAAATGGAGTCAATACAGCATAAGATGAATTGTTGTTGTCTCTGTGATGAATCCCAGATATCTGTCTGTCTAACAATGAGTCACCCTGTTTTATGACACCAAAGCATTGTGGGAATCGTATCGTGATATAGTTAAAGTTACTCAATGATTCCAAAGTCTAGTTATGATGTTCAACTGAATAACAGTTTGGCCCGACGTGGTCGTGAATGTCTTCAGTAGCTCTATCAAGTAAATGTCACTTGTCCATTGGGGGGGGTGTCACAAACCGCCGGCTCTATGAAGAACCATCTTCCAGCTGCTCATCCTGAAATGGGTAGCTGAGCGCAGGAGGGAAGCCCTGACTCCGAGGCTGTTCGTCCAACAACACCAAATCCTCCACGTCTCTCCCTTTGAACCTCCGTCTGCAGATCTTTACTGTCACTTTTCGCCCCTGAAAGACTTTTAGGGCCTCTTTGGAAGCCATGGCTTTGGCGGCGCCCTCGTCGCGGCCGTAGCCTGTCCCCATGTATACGCTCTGACAGCGGATCTCACACACGTGGCCTTCCTTCTGTGTGCGTCCTGCGGGGAGGCCTGCAATGTCCTTCAGTGGCACGAACACACAGGCCAGGGTCTCTTTACACGACTCCACGCAGCTACGAAGTATTTCAAAATGGTCCAGGTTGGGACCGAAGCCCCCCGCCGACACCAGCTTCCAAGCCACCGCCTTGTAGAGGCGGTTGAAGAAGGGCTGGTGCTCTGCTGGAGCCTGTGGAGGAGGTCCTGATTTCTGACCCCCGGGCCACGCAGCCGTCCTCCCAGCAGGTCGACCGTCGAGCTCATTAGGCCCACATTTGGCTCTTTTCGCACAGCTGTCAGCATCGCTCTCTGCAAGTGATGACACAACAGGCAGGACAGTGATGAGTGCACAGAGAAACAGCATTTAATGAGGAAACAGAGTCTCAGGTGTGGGTGTGTAAAGAAAAAAGAAAAGAAGAATCTGCGTGTAGGGAATTACACTGAAACCCTGCTGTAATAGAAAATAACACTGGAACATGTCGGTGGTCCATAACAAGCTACAGAGACTGAGTCTAACTTATTCATAGCTTGAAAGTACTCACATTGCTTATGAAGGCCCGATTTTGAATTAAAGCGGCAAAACAGCATGTTTTTACTCTGAGGAATTAAATTAAATTAAAATGTACATTCAATGTAAAAAAATCGATTCAACAGGTAAACTTGTCACAGGACAAACGTTTAAACATTACAAAATACAGCTATCAATAATGTTATTACCATGTACTGTATGTTGTTACTCATTGTACGCTCTACAAATAGACTTATATTTATATATATAACAAACAATAACATCAACAATATCTCCATTTTAGATTTTGTTGAGACAAAAGAGATCCTCTTGTCATTTGGAGACCTCGTAGGTGGACGGCATTAAAAAGTGTTTCTAATATTTTGTCTACCCAAATGTAACAGGAGAAACAAAATATAAGTTTTAACATAGTGCAATCCAATACAAATCCACCGCTGTCATTTTCCTCTAGTATCCAGTGAATCTCCCAACGAGGTAAAGTGATAAAATAATAACACTGTGTGTCAGATTGTCATCTTGTGTCCACCTGAACTGATTTCCTCCACATCACACACACACACACACACACACACACACACACACCAGCTGTGGAGAGAACACAGTAAGTGAGCTGTATTACCAGCTGTGGCACTCCGCTTTGCTTTGGCCAGTCCGCCTATCGTGGTTCTGTGAACCGGTGCATCTTCGACAACTACCCCCTCACCCATCTCCTTGATCTTGTCCATTACGGCCTGTGGGTAGCTGAGGGACACAGAGAGCAGAGGGACTTCATCATCTGCACGCACTGACCTTTGCTCTGGTGTGGATTCGTGATTCTGCTGTGTCAGTGGGTCTCACCTGCAGCCCAGGAAAACGTGATTGGCCCACACCATGGACAGGGAGAGCAGTCTGTCCAGGCTGCTGCTGGGGACTCCTGGATCCACTGTGGGGAACGCCTCCATGTTCCTCAGGATGAACTCTCTCCGAGCAACCCACTGTTTGTTGGTCTCACAGTAGCCCCTCAGACTCTCGACCCAGTGGGCCAGCTGCGGGTTCTGGCCCAGGTATTCTGAAACTATGTCCTCTCCGCTCCTCTCCCCCGCCATCCCTGCAAACAGCACAAACACTGTACGTGTGAGAAGCACTGAAGGCACACTCGATCATTTCCTCCGTGCAGCTATCTGAACCCAGGCTAACAGAAACCCAAATAAAGACTACAACTCGTGTTTCTGTCGCTAACTCGCCTGGTGGTAGCCTCGTGAAGCTAACCAGTTACTGTTCCCTCAAAAACCGACTTTTAACAACTAACGTTAAGTTCAGTTAAACGACCGGCCGAGTCCCGGTGCCTCTCCCGGTCCGCTGATCAGTTACATCCCGCCATCGAGCTCCGAAACACCGCCAGAGTCCCTCCGAACAACCGCTCTAACACCAACCGCTAACTACGACATAAGCTCTCTCTACCTGTCTGTCTGCCTGCCTGTCTCTCTCTCTACCTGTCTGTCTCTCTGTCTACCTGTCTCTCTGTTGTAAGGTGTTGCTAGCTAGCTACATGGCCGAGTGTTGTTTTTTTTTTTTTTTTTTTTTTCCCGCGGAAGGGACTACATTTCCCAGAATGCACCTCGCCAGCTACAGGTTACCGTGCTAATAACTTCCGCTTGCTTTTTTCTCTTTTCTTGTTTTGTTTACGTACCTTCGCGGGAGCTCGTTTAAGTTATTAAGCAACGAGGGGGTTTGGTTTATTATCGTTTATTAACACTACAGAAACCCCCCACTTTTACTTTTGTGACATTTTAAAATCCGTTAAATGATAAAAGAAAACGACGGAACGCAGCTTAAGCTAACTGCTGGCTAGCAACCGCCAGTCAAATGTCCCGTGATGCTGTGCGTCGGAGCGTCAGCAGCCTGCGACACCCCGGGCGGCGGTTTGTTTGTTGTTGTTGTTGTTGATGACCGCGGAGCTCCTCCTCGCGTTATTATCACTTTTAATCAATTAAAAGTTAATTAATATGATTCACGAGCTGTTGCTGGCGTTGAGTGGATACCCGGGGACCATCTTCACATGGAACAAACGGACAGGGCTGCAGGTGAAACTGAAACCACGCTGTTTTTATCTGTTTATTTTTGTTTACAGGCGTTAAAATGATGTTATTGTCTCTGTTGACCGTATAGTTACACATTTATTATGCACATAATAGCAGCCCCAGGCTCCACTGCACTCTCAGAAGTATGTGTATTTCTTATTATCTCATTTAGATTAACCAGGGATATAAATGTGATTGTTGCATTCAAGAATTAAGTTCTATACAACATATATGATATTATATGAGTCAGGCTTCAGTCCATTCACACATGTAAACAATGTAGTTCAGATATAAGCAGTGTAGCTCACCTAACAGCCTCACAAGTACAGATAATAATAGTTATAACATAGACAACTATTAAAGGAACATTTTTATAACCTCTTCCACCAGACACCACCAAAACAACATTCAAGGGTTGCTTACAACCTTACAAAATAGAAGATTTTCCTTTGCAGGAAACAGAACTGTTGATTTGTTGATTCACAGCGAGGTACAGTTATTGATTTTATGCATATTTAGTAATAATTAATGTGCATAATACTGACATCAGCCACAGTAACCTTTGTGTATATCAGAGGCACACAGTGTTTCTTTTTGAACATGAACCGCTTTGTTTCATCTGCAGGTGTCCCAGGACCTGCCCTTCCTTCACCCCAGTGAGACCAGTGTCCTCAACCGGCTGTCTAAACTGGGCTCCGATTACATCCGCTTTACAGAGTTCATAGAACAACACACCGGCCATGTGCACCAACAAGTGAGAGAAGATGTCATATAACAACATTTTAGATTTTAGCCTGTAAACATTTCTGTTGTAAAATGACAATAGGATTTCTAACTGTTCGGTCAATGTAATAAAAAAAAGCTGTTTTTTTTACTGTTTATATTTGGCTACAAGTTGTACAGATGTTCAGTTTGTTAAAGACTACCCTACCTTTCCCTAAGACAGGGTCTCCCAATTATAAAAATGTATGCATTTATTTCAATAATTTGTTCTTTAGGAACATCACACGAACCAGCCCAGCCAGACGGGACTTCATGGAATTTACTTGCGGGCCTTCTGCACAGGTCTGGACTCTATTCTGCAGCCGTACAGACAGGCCCTGCTGGACCTCGAACAAGAGGTAAAATGATGACGCTGCCAACAACAATAAATGGTGAAGGGTGTGACAGGATGCTCATTTAACTTGTGTGTGTACGTTTCAGTTCCTTGGAGATCCACATCTGACAATATCTCATGTGAATTATAAGCTCGATCAGGTAAAGCGTTAATGAAACTTCTGGTGAAAATATACCAAAGACACTCACAGTGGAAAGTCTTTATAGAGTTAAACATATCTGTTTGTCTAACACTGTTCTTTTTCTTTAAGTTCCAGTTGCTGTTTCCTTCTGTGATGGTGGTGGTAGAGACGATTAAATCACAGAAGGTAAGGATTGTTTATGGAGTAGTTCACCAGGAAATGTAAATTCAGGGTGGAGGACAGTGATGCCCATGCTGCACATGAATAGAAAGAGAGAAATTGTTCAGTTGAAAAAGAACATTTCATGAGAAAGCCCCAATAAATAAAGAATAAGTTGAGGGAAAGATGTCATCAGTGTATGTAACTGCAATACTGAAGTGTCAACCAGAGCCCTTGTTGCATGCTCCCACTCCTTTAACACCATATCACCCGACACCAACATGTATGTGGATCAAGACACCAAAGTCCTTTCTTAAAGAATTAAGAGAAAACTCAAATTTCTTCATAAGCAGAAAGCATGACATGCCACGGTGTGTCAGCTGATGATGGGATAAAAGCTGAGTTTGCACTGTGGGAGCTCCTTGAAGATAATGACTCAAAGACTAGATCTACTAATCCAGAGGAACTGAACTGACGGCTGTGTACATGTTGTGTTGTTGTGTGCTGCTTTAGATCCATGGCTGTCAGATCCTGGAGACGGTGTACAAGCACAGTTGTGGGGGGCTTCCTCCTGTACGCATGGCCTTAGAGAAGTAAGTCAGCTCTCTTTGGGAAAGACCTTAATCCAAGTTTCACCGCTGTGTTTACACTGGTGGGGTGGAATATGTACTCCATATAGCAGTATTGCAGTGCTGTTGTGATGCGTAATATAGAAACACAGAGTAACCCTGTTTAAATACATGTTTTGATAATGGATTTTAAATAATAATTTACAGTTTTTTTGTTGTAATTCAGTCAGTAAGTCTTACGCTTAGCCTGATGAAACCTGCAAGAAACTCTGTTTTAGTAGAGTTGCCGTGAGGTATAGATGTGTCTCTCTTTCACTGCAGATTCTTTAAAGGTTATATGTACAATAATTACTAGATGTTGCACTAGAGCACCAGCATCTCAGACCAAAGCAGTGGTCGCTACGGCCGACCAGACTCCATTGACAAAACCAGTCATTTTACTTGATAATCATAAAGAACCTTAAACTGTAAAAAAAACAAAATAAAACTCACCAAAATCTTTATTTTGTTTGATATCTTTATATGTTATTCTTTCCACTGTTCCAACAGTCACCCACTGGGCAACTCTTAAATATAGTGATGACTGATTCCTATGTTTTAGAAAATGTCATCTTTTCTTATGATTTGCTATAAAAAATATGTGTGTGTGTCTGTGTGTGTGTGTGTGTGTGTCTGTGTGTGTGTGCATTCTGCAGGATTCTTGCTGTGTGCCACGGCGTGATGTACAAGCAGCTAGCAGCTTGGATGCTGCACGGACTGCTGCTGGACCAAAGTGAGGAGTTCTTCGTGAAGCAGGGGCCCAGTGCAGGAGGAGCTGCGGCCAACCAGGAGGAGGATGAGGAGGACCTGGGGTTAGGAGGTTTGAGCGGGAAACAGCTCAGAGAACTCCAGGACCTGGTGAGAACTACAGTCAGACAAACAGGCCCCACCCAACAACAAGAGGCCAGTGTGTATGTTTGAGTCTTGATTATGTCTGTGTTGTGGTGCAGAGGCTCATCGAGGAGGAGAACATGTTGGCTCCGTCCCTGCAGCAGTTCTCCCTGCGAACCGAGATGCTTCCCTCTTACATTCCCATCAGAGTGGCTGAGAAGATCCTCTTTGTTGGAGAATCTGTCCAGATGTTTGAAAATCACAACCACAGCCCATCCAGAGCTGGTAGTCTATCCTGCTATGATTTAAGCTGTGTACTGGCATTCTCTGATTGTTGTCTTCATATCTCTAAGAGAATAAAACCCATTATTGTTGTTTTCAGGCTCCATCCTGAAGCACCAGGAGGACCTGTTTGCTGCAGACCTGCACAGACTCAAACAGCAACCTCTGTTCAGCCTGGTGGATTTTGAAAATTTGATTGATCGCATCAGGAGCACAGTGGCAGAGGTGAGCTCATTTACTACTCGCATTATTGTCTTCTCTCAACTAAATAAGAAATTCAACGTAAGCTACTACACTCATTGTGACTGAATCAAAATGTCTTCCTGACCTCCAGCATCTCTGGACGTTGATGGTGGAGGAGTCAGATCTGCTCGAACAGCTCAAGGTTTGTATTAATGACACTCGGTTCTGGATCATAAATGGGTGCAAAATGAGAAGTGCATAGTTATTATAGTTTTGTATTTTTTATTCGTTTTTATTTTGATTTTGTTTCCAATTCAGTTTCAATTAGTTTCCAAAAGGAGTTGGCTCGTTTCACTTTAGTATTTGTTGTTTAAAATGTTCCAGCCATGTAGACATCCTAGTCTCAATAAATATATGCACCAATGCCTCCTCATGCTTGTGTCGACAAAAACTGGACCAAATAACAAGAAAAAGACATTTATTTTTATTTTTATTTCCATTACCTAACATGTTTTTTCACACCCAGTTTTAGTTTTTAGTTTGGTTTTAGTTAACTATAATAACCTAGGAACAGTGTTGACGTTTCTATTTTCTTCCAGATCATTAAAGACTTTTATTTACTGGGTCGTGGCGAGCTCTACCAGGTTTTTATTGACCTTGCGCAGCACATGCTCAAGACTCCTCCGACTGCTGTCACTGAGCACGGTAAATTTCAATATGCAAACCCCCCCCCCCCACACACACACACACACACACACACACCCTGTATTGCTCAGTAGTTACAGATATTTGTTTACTCCTCCACAGATGTAAATGTGGCCTTTCAGCAGGCGGCTCATAAGGTGCTGTTGGACGACGACAACCTCCTTCCTCTGCTGCACCTCACTGTAGACTACCAGGGCAAAGACGGCAAAGGTGAGCTGCTGACCACCGCATACTGTAAGTTCATGGTATTCAGGAAAGTAGAGGAGAAAACCATCTGGATGATACGAATACAAACAGAAACCTTTTTACTTTGAGATGATGCTCTCCTTTTATTTGGTGTTTAGCGCCATCCAGTGGTTTTATGTGAACAGTTAAACGGTTAAAAGAGCAGCTCTTATCTACACAGTAACCCAATCTCACAACGAGGTGTCAGAGTATCCATCTTCTTTTTAACTAAACTGCTGCTTGAAAACATTCTGACCTCACGCCAAGTCTTCCAACTTCTGTTGGAACAATTATTTGAACAATTTTGATTAAGAACTAATTTATTAAGCAAAAATGCAGAGTATTCTCTGTTCCTTCTCAAATTTGCTTCTTTCCTCTGATCGATATCATTATAAAATCAAATATCTTTTGTTTTGTTTATTGTTTTGGGCTGTTGGTCAGACAAAACACATTGGCTCAGAGAAACAGTGATGGGCATTTTATGGACTATGTATGAGTTACCTTTTAAAAAATAATCTACATTGATAATGGAAATAATCATTTGCAGCCCTATTTCAAACATAATGCACACTACGTTGCAGCTTATGTGCTCAATTTGAGATCAGTTTGTATTAAAACATGCTTCAGGTCTGTAGCAACCGATAATGTAATAATTGCCAATAATGTAATAATTGCCAATAACGTAATAACTTATTACATTATTGGCAAAATGTTATTACCTTATTGGCACAGCATTAAAAAAATCCTTTGAAATGTAATAACTGCAGCCGATAATGTAATAATACATAAATAGGATTGCATTTCTTGGAATTTTTTTGTAGTTTTTGTGCTTAAATATGGTTGCTTACAACCATATTTAAGGAGAGAGAGTGCTGCATAATACATACCCTTGATGAATGAATATGACGACTATGCCATCCACTATATCTATTTTTGATGAGCAAACTGCATAAAAACTACAAAAAAATATTTGATTTCCAAGAAATGCAGTCCTATTTATGTATTATTACACTGTCATTTTGACTGATTCAGTTTTCGTTAACTGTTAATGTGTCTGTTTTCTCAGAGGCGACAGGCCCCAGAGATGGAGCCACTCCTCCACAAGACACCTCCCCTCGTGAGGTCCCTCCCACGGGTTGGGCAGCTCTCGGTCTCACCTACAAGGTCCAGTGGCCGCTGCACATCCTCTTCACTCCTGCTGTCTTAGAGAAGTGTGTACTCGTTTGGCTCCCTATGGTAGAATTGATTGATGTGTGTTTAGTGCAGCTGGTGAGCATCCTCTCCTCCTGTTTGTTCCTCCTCTCTGTGGTCAGGTACAACGTTGTGTTCAGGTACCTGCTGAGTGTGCGGCGGGTGCAGTCGCAGCTGCAGCACTGCTGGGCTCTACAGATGCAGAGGAAACACCTCAAGTCCAGCCAGACCGACGCTGTCAAGTGGAGACTGCGCAACCACATGGCGTTCTTGATCGACAACCTGCAGTATTACTTACAGGTAAATAATACAGCCCCAAACCTAATTAATTAAACCTAATTCATTTCGTACATACTTTAAAGTAGAGCCCGACCGATAAGGGATTTTTTTAAGACCAATTTATCAGTCGGGCTCTACTGAACACCGTGAGTATACAGGCTTTCTAAGAGCAATCCTAGCAGTCTGTGCCTCTTAAAATATATCATCATTACATTCATTAACATTCAAATCCCACTTGATCCTTAATTCATGCAATACATGTCTTTTAAGTAAATATATTCCAGATTTAAATGTATTTCTGGAGATTTTTGATTTAGTTCCTAAAAAGATAAATCTGTTATTTAATGAAGGAAAATATAAAATACTGGAAAATAATTATAGATAACCTATAATAAAACTTTTTAACTTTTGGTTTGCACTCTACAAATCAAGCAGGGAATAAACCCCATAAAAGTGGGTGGGGCTAATCAGTAGTTGTTCATTTGAATTAAAGTTTTTATATTTTGTATAAAAATATCTACTGAACAGCCTCAGAATTGAGCTTCTAAGGGACATTTTTGATCAAGAGTAAGTGAACAATTTACTGGAAAAATCCATTTAAAAAAGCACATTATCTGTACCGGGTACGTGTTTCAGTGCCTACATCCACTTATGGCTACATGTGAGTGTAGAAGATTCACAATTCTTGATTTATTAATATAATAATATAAAGCCATGCATGTGTATGCATAGGTTTATAAATCTCTTAAAAAGAGTGCATATGCATATACGTATGCTGGATGAACTTTTACAGACCCTATGATTGTCTCCTTGCGTCAGCTGAGTTGTTTTCCTGTTGTTTGTCTCTAGGTGGATGTGCTGGAGTCTCAGTTCTCTCAGCTGCTTCAGCAGATCAACTCCACCAGAGACTTCGAGAGCATCCGACTGGCCCACGACCACTTCCTCAGCAACCTGCTCGCCCAGTCCTTCATCCTCCTGAAGCCGGTACCAGTCACTCATTCCAAATGATGTTGGAACTTAATTAGCTGCTAACGTTTACCTTTTTTCCAGACAGAGACTGTTTGCTAACTCCGTAGATGCTTCTGTCCTCAGGTATTTCACTGTCTGAACGAGATCCTCGAGCTGTGCCACAACTTCTGCTCACTGGTGAGTCAGAGTGTGGTGTCGCTGGACGAGAGGGGAACTGCTCAGCTCGATATCCTGGTCAAGGTAGAGTCGCTCATCTGCTCATTTGTTTAATGTTGGAAAATGTAAAGATAGATTTTGTAATACTGCCACATTCAAATTTCAGGGCTTCAGACGTCAGTCCTCCTTACTGTTTAAAATCCTTTCGAGCGTGAGGAACCATCAGATAAACTCTGATCTGGCTCAGCTGTTACTGCGACTGGACTACAACAAATATTACACGCAGGCTGGAGGCACGCTGGGCAGGTAGGACGCAGACTACAACCATCAACTATTATCTTCTGTGTATAAAACTCTCTAGAGACAATTATTAGAACACACTAATCAAACAGGAGTCAGCGTGCTACGGTTAATCCAAAACCTTTACGTTTCTTTTTCAGTGTTTAAGAAGAGTGCAAAGGATTAAGATTTGGAGACATGTCCTCCTCTGCTAACCTCTCACACTGAACAGAAGATCATCAGTCCTGTCCTTTCCCTGTGGCATGCCTGTTAAAATGATGTTTAAAGAGTTCGTTCACCCAAATAACACAACCATTTTCCTCACTTACCTCTAGTGGTATCACGCCTGCAGGATTGCTTGTGGCGCTTTCAGCAACTGACAGATTTCAGTGGGACTATTTCTCTGGTAGAAAGTAGTTCCAGTGAGATTGTCAACAATAACCAGACGAAGCTAAAGTGAATCTTCCTGTAAAAAGCCTAGCTCGACTGAGCTTTACAAACAGAATCATGCTTAAGCAGCTTCAAAATAAAGTAAAGAGACTAATTTAAGCTTGGTTTAAGAGCTGTTTATATATTTGATTTAAAGGAGTAGTTCAACATTTTGGGAAATGTGCTTATTTAATACTGAGAATAAGATGTAAAGATTGACTCCACTCATCGTCTGTTAAATAAGAAGCTACAGAGGTCAAAACTCCAGCAACTAATGTCAACGCTTGAGACCATCATCATCCCCAGCCAGGAGACTACTGGCTTAGCTTAGCATAAACGCCTTTGGATTTAGCCAGCCAGGCTAGCTGTAGCTACATATTTAGCATATAGACATGAGAGGTGAACTAATCTTCTCAGCTAACTCTGCAAATAAGAAAATTGACCAAGCTGCTGTAAAGATTTTAAATGAATTCTCTTCCACTGTGAAGCTCTGGAAGCAGAAATCTCAGACAGATCTAAACGGCTTAGCATTATCTGCTAGATGGAAGACCACTAGAACTGAGCGGGGAATTTTTGGGTGATCTGACTCTTTGGCTGTAGCGCACTGTTCTTGTATAAACTGTAAATATTAAAAACCTTGCATGTACCATTTACTGTAGAGGAAATAAACTTAAATCAGTTAAAATGAAACAAGGGTCACAATTTATTATCCCATAAAAACAGACAGGATAAAGGTATATACAGCAGAGGCATGCAACAGAACTAATGCTGAACATTTAACATGGTCGAAGGCATTTTGCACATGTGGAGTCAGATTATGAGGAGGAGTAGTCGTGGCGATACTGAGGCTTGCTATGGAAACCCAGGCGCTCGCCGCAGATGACGCTCTGGATGAGCCACTCGGGAGACACCAGCGGGACTTCCTGTGATGTCACATTTTTCTCTACCAGTGGTGGACAGGCATGGTCTGTCACCACAACATCGTACTTGCCAGCAGGAATGTCTGCGGATGGAGGGAAGATGAGACGATCAGTAACAACGTTTTTCACAGTTCACACTTCAGTTGGACGTCGTGGTGGATTCTGTCTGTACCTGAACTGTCCTTGTCGGCCTGGAACTGTCGGACAGAGGAACCTCCACCCATGGTGATCAGCTGTGCCCAAAGCTCCACCGGCTTCTCAAACACCAGAAGGACCCGCAGAGCCTTGAACGGGCTGCAGCGAGGATGCCTGATCGGAGAGAAAAAATCATGTAAAGTCTATTAAAACGGCAACATTGAATAACCTTTCCAGAGGGGGGGGGGTTCTCCTCTGCTTGACTTTGTACCCACGCTCAGGTTGTGGTCTCTAACATCCACAACTGCCCACTGTTGGCCTGAGGAGGGCTGCTCCTGACACACTTGCTGTGTCCAAACTCACTTCCAGTTTACTTTATAGTTCACACACTGTCCACCATTTTTTTTAAGTGACCTGATTTTGTGCTCTCTATAGTTCCCCTCAAAATGACATTGATATGAAAGAGGATATGATCTTGGGGAATCTGACCCCCTGTGGCACTCCTACTGATCCAGTATGGGTGTCTGTATACATCAACCTTAAGGGATGTGTAACATTTTTATACAAACTAACATTTACATATTTCTTGCCACAAATAAAAAAAAACCAGGAAACAAGTCAATTCTGGCTACCATCTGTTTTGGATTAAGAGATGAAGTTGTGGGAAACTGGTTAATAATCCTTGTTCAAGTGTAACAGAGAGAGTACATTTGGAGTGTTTTTCCAGATTAACAGGGATTTACGTTTCAGAAAAAACAAATGCTTAGCTCTGTGACAGGAATGCTAACACAACCCCTCGATACTCAAAACCTAAAGAATGAAAAGAAACACGAGGCGGAGCTTCATCTTACCATTCTACTATGGCCTCATCTGGCCCCACGCCAGCAGGCAGCAGGTAGTTCCTGTAGTTGAGCAGCTTGTTGTCTTTGCAGCAGTCGCGCACCCAGATGTGCGACACACACGGCACACCGCTGGCCAAACACAGCAAGTACTTTCTCGTACGACAGTGCTGGTCTGCGATGAGCAGGCTCTGGTAAGCTGCCTTACACTGAAGGGGGAACAGAGAGGAAAGCATTGATAGGAGTACAAACCTGCTTTATTCATAAACTGTAGCTCAAGATGTGTTTTTATATGTTAATTACCACAACCGACAGGAACATTAAAAATGACCACAACAATAACTAGTGAGGGCTGTATGAAAGTGAAAACAAAGTGCCGCCCCCAATAACAATTTGAGTAATATAACTATAATGGTTGACTTCTATATTGACTGACAAATCAGCTCTTTATTACGTTGTGGAAAATACTGAACAATATAGTGTTCCAGTAGTGCACAATGTCTCTATTGGTTCATCTGAGAGCAAAACTACAGATTGACAGCAGAGGAAATGACTTGAAACTGAAGTTGCAAGTTCTACAATATAGGTAGCAAAAGTTAAAATGACCCAGAAAAATTAAGTGTTGTAAAATACTGGAGGCGTTAATCCTAACTTTTTTTATTTATTTTTTTCTTTTCTGGTGTTTTCAGAGGACTAACCTGTTCTTCATTAAAGTCTGGCAGGATGAAGCCTCCACCTGCCTGCAGCTGGGACTCTGTGTATGCTTTGTTATATGGACCTGTCTGCACGTAATCTGTTGAGAGAATAATTGACAATGATTATCGATCAATTAAACAACAATTAAACAATTAATTAAATTAAATTAAACAGAAGCAGGAAGGGAACCTGCTGGCGCATTATCATACTCATTTCGTCATCATCTGCCTCACCCTCCTCTTCGTCGCTGGTGAGCTTGTTGGTGAGCCGGTCGATCTCAGACGAGGCGGTCAGCATGAAGGCGAAGCCCATGAAGAGGGACGCGTTGTGGGGCAGCGGACCGTGAGTGTCTGCCACGTCACAAGACTGCCCGGGGAGATCTGTGCCGCTGCCAGACGTGTTACACACACCGACCCGCTGAGCTGAGGACAGAAATACACGTGTTAGAAGTAGAAAAGGCAGCGAGCGAAGGAATCAGGTGAAAAGACGGTTGGTAATTTAAAAAGGTCTGTTCAACCAAATTACAAAATATCTTCTCTCTCATCTCTAGAGACATCTGGCCCTGCAGACTGTTTTATCTGCTGGTGTTTTGAGATTTCTAGAAATAGTTCCTATTAAAGCTGCTGACTGTGTGTTCTGTGGATGATCCTGACTAACAGGGACACCGATTCTGGAAAAAGATGTTGCTGTTGTTGCTGAAAATCGGGACAAATATAACCTTAAAACAAGAGGAAAGTGAGAAAATGTGTTCCCTTTAATTTAGCTGAACCAACCTTTTGAGCATCAAATACTGGCTCTATTAAAATAATTTTCAAAGCAAATACACCCATGACTTTAGAGAAATACACACTGCCTTCCCTCCACCAGTGGACCAACACCGGGGTAATACTGGTGTATGAGATTAGTTACCAAGTCAGCCTCGGCAGCAGCCGGCACACGACAGCAGAGGATGGACACAGACCACACGAAGTTGTGCTCAGTATAAAAATCACACATTACTGACTCCATATCACACAAGAACATCATCTGAAATCTGACAACGATCACTTCATCAAATCGGCTGTAAAATTCTTGTAAGTGAATTAAGAACTTTATATAAAAAAAAAAAAAAAAACTTCAGATGTAAACAGCTTCTAAAAAGATTTAAAAAGTGCTATTACACCTGCAACGTGTTTACTTATACAGACACTGAAAACGAATTAAAACCTTAAATATGTTCATTCACACCAGAATAATACATTATGTTTAAAAATCTTAACTCAATTATAATGTATGAAGTCAGGTTTTAAAAAAAAAAAAAGTAAATAAAAACATTTTGAGATAAAGTCCTGAATTCCTTATGTTAAAAACATGGGAAAGAAATAAACCATGAACCCCTGAAACCCCCCACACCCCCATCCCCTCCCTCCGTTCAGATGCAGTCATGGCTTTGTTGAGCGAGTCTCCGTACCGGCTCTGGCGCCTGGCCCCCTGCGGCCTCTCTTGGCCGGCATCCTATCGTCCTCGGAGGTCATCAGCTTCCTCTTGCCGGAGGGGCCGGGGGTTCGGGGGCTGCTGGAGGAGCTGCGGTTGGGAGTGTTCTCACCCCCGGGGGCTCCTCTGCGCCTCCTCTTCCCCTCCACCAGGTTATCTAAAGAGAATATTTACACCTCTGTTTAATAAAGACCCAGATGTAGAAGAGAGAACTGATTAATGATCTTCTAAACGCCACTCTGAACACACAGGGTCTGCTGCAGTGAGTTCTGGGAAAACAAATTATTCCAAAAATCTTTACAACAGACCATCTGTCTGTGTCCAGCTGCGGTGGTCTTACCCAGGCTGATGTCGGAGGCCTTGGTCAGGGGAGTGGAGGGCTCGTAGGGCCCGAGGCTGTGCTGCTCCCTCAGCTTGTTCCCCTGCTCCATAGACAGGATGACGGCGGTCCTGTTGTACCACTGCCTCTGGCCGTCCTTCTCAATACTGTAGAACAGATCCTGCCCCTCTGTTTTATGGCCCCTCACGATGCCTGCAGACACACACACACGAGAGACAGAACGCTATCAACACTTTGGGTTTGAGACTCAATGTTTGCGTTTTGATATTTGTATTTATTGCTGACCAAAAACCCGTCAAATTGAAAATATTAGAGCACACTATCAGCAGCATCAAGACAAAACTATCTGTTATCAATGAGACCACAGAACCCCTGAACCTGCTTCCTACATCCTCCAACTCTTCTCCCTCACCTATGCTGAAGTACTCGTCCTCCAGCAGAGCCGTGACCTCCGTCTCCAGGGGGATGGGATCACACAGCAGGATATCCTTCCCCGCCACCTCACACTCGTAGCCGTCATCAAACCGCAGGCGGAACCTCCCCTCCCCGGCGTCTTTGATGATGCGGCCCGAGTAGAAGTAGCCATTGGACGACCACTTGGCAACCACCCGCAGGCCGACAAAGCTGCTTCCGGTCGAGCTCGCCTCCTCTGGCGATGACCTGAGGGAGTCGGAGTGGCTGGGGAGCTCAGCGTCTGTGGGGCTGATGGGAATGCGCGGGGGGAGCATGCGGGTGTAGGGCTCGTCCTCTGAGGAGGACTGTGGCTGGCCGTAAGCACCGAGCCTTTGCAGTGAGCCAATGCCACCTCCCCTTAGAGAGAGAAACAGAGTCTGTTCAGGCAACATTCATTTGATCTGAAAGGTTTCTGTTGATATATACTGGTTAAATCCCAGGCAATGTATCATAACTGGAATGGGTCTTGATGGCCTGACTTTACTTCATAATTGCTTAAAGGTTTAGATTGGACATAATAAAGTGAGACTGAGGTATTCATCCAGTCAGTGTATTACCTACAGTAGACAGCATGCCCGCAGTTTGGAGAGGCAGACACAGGTCCCGGTACAGATGCTAAGCAATGTACTGCCGTGGCCGGGGGCAACAACAAATCGTACTTTAGCCACCTAAAAAAAGGCTCACCTAAAAAAGAAATTAAAAAAAAAATCCATCAGTGTACGCTATATTTAAAATATTTTCCCCGCTTTACCTTGCTGTGAGACAGCTCTTCGACAGGAAACTGAAGCATCCATATTGATCTATGCTCTCTTCAAAGCCTCCAGTGTTACTGCGTGA